TGGCATGCGTGCGGCCCGGGTTCGATCCTCAGCACCACATACAAAGATGTTGTGTCCGCCGATAACTAAAAAATAAATATTAAAATTCTCTCTCTTTTCTCACTCTCTCTTAAAAAAAAAAAAAGAATTCTTTCTATCATCTGAAGGAATAATACCAGTTTTGAAGTCTGTCTCTCAGAAGGTCAGGCACAGAGGTACCCTATAATCTCAGCTACTCAGGAGGCTGAAGCAGGAGGATCTCAAGTTTGAGTTCAGCTTGGACAACACAGCAAAACCTTGTCTCCAAATTTTTAAAAAGAGTCTAGGAATATATCTCAGTGGTATAGCTCAGTGGTAGAACACCCCTGGGTTCAATGCCCAGTACCACAAAAAATAAATAAACAGAAACAAAGAAATGTCACAGGCCCATTCAGAAGTTATAAAGAGTGGGACTGCCTGGAACAGTTCCATGACTTTCAGTAACAGATTAAACTATGCTTTCCTAAGATGGTGTTGAGTCATGTGTTCCCTAAAGATTCATTTCTCAACAGATAGTCTGGCTCCAACAGTATCTGATCACCTCAAAATGTGTCTCAATGTAGAATGTCATCTCCACCCCAAGCCTGCAGCACCAGAATCCACATTTCAACCTGGTCCAGAGGCTTCCAGTGTACATTAAAGGTGAGAAAACCTGTACCAACTATGGGCTGACTTTACCAGGACTTTGGCTCTCCGAAGTGCAGGTAATTGATGCTGTAYAGGTCCATGTCTTCTGTATGCCAGGCAAAGGAAGTCTTCCACATGCCAAAGTACAGGTATGGGGTGTTCACACCCTCAATGGTGATCCCACTCTCCTTTTCAACCAAATCCAGAATGGTCTTCAGCCGGCCAATGTTCCACTCATCAACATGCTGTCAAAGAAATGACAGTCCACAGTAAATTATACTTGAATATAAAATGAAGTTATGAATCTACAAACCACAGAGAAGGCTTCAGGAGAGCCTATCATCTCTGATCAACACATAAAATAATGTCAAAACCACAGGCCAGTCACAGGGGTGTATATGTGTAATTCTAGTGACTTGGGAGACTGAGATAGGAGGGTTATAAATAGAGGCCAGCCTGGGCAACTTAGAGAGACTGTATCTCGAAATAAAAAATAAAAAGGACTGGGCCCGGGTGTAGTGGTACACACTTGTAATTCCAGCAGATTGGGAGGCTGAGGCAGGAGGACCGCAAGTTCAAAGCTAACTTCAGTAACTTAGCTAGGTCCGGAGATCTTAATGAGACCTTATCTCAAAATAAAAAATAAAAATAAAAAGGGGGGGCTGGGGATGTGGCTCAAGCGGTAGCGCGCTCGCCTGGCATGYGTGCGGCCCGGGTTCGATCCTCAGCACCACATACAAACAAAGATGTTGTGTCTGCCAAAAACTAAAAAAATAAAATAAATATTAATAAATAAATAAATAAATAAAYAAACAAAAAGGGCTGGGGATGTGGCTCAGTCATTAAGTGCCTGTGGGTTCAATCCCCAGTACCAAAACAAAACAACAAAACTGAATTCCTCACTTTTTTTTTTTTAATATATACTTTTTAGTTGTAGTTGGACACAATACCTTTATTTTACTTATTTTTATGTGGTGCTGAGGTTCAAACCCAGGATCTCGCACATGCAAGCCAAGTACTCTACYKTTGAGCCACAATCCCAGCCCCCCTYACTTTCACAGTTACTACTGGAACTGACACCATCATGCCTCCAAAGAGATTTAAGCAATATAATATAGGAAAGATGTTTAAGGAGGTGACAGTTACCTGATCTAAATCCCAGGAAGAAGAGTTTTAACAAAAGATAAAGAAACTTAGGTCAAATTGGGAAAAACAAAGAAAAATGGGAATTAACTATAGTAACTCATGCTTCTTTTAGCTTCAATTTCCACTGGGCAGAGTCTTCATAAAATGTCTACATTGTCCTTTCCCCGAGTTGTACTCAGCCAGAAGCCCCCCTCCTAAAACCAAGTTCCCAATTTTTGTGCCCTGCTTTTGTACTTCCCAAAATCTGCAGGCATCAATCCGCCATTCATGCCTACAGGCTTGACTCCCCATCACCCCACAATATTACTGTCAACAAACTTAYAATTCACTTTTTAAATATTTTCCTTCTGATAATTTACAAAAATGTTAAAATCTAAGCAATAATACCTAAAACACCTAATTTTTTTTCTAATCATCCAAAGGCAGGTTCAAATAGCCCCTCTTCTACCATATCAAAGCAATTCTTGTTTGAAAATTGGGATCCCCCTGACTCAGCCTCYAAAGTCACTGGGACTATAGACATGCACCAAGGTGCCTGGCACCAAAGCAGTTCTTCATGCAAAAAAAAACCCAAAAACTATACTTCAAGCCAATGCAACTAGTTAAAATAGCTTTTGCTACAGAATCCTGTTTAAGGGTTTTTAAAATCTAAATAGGTTTCTCTTCTTAAATATATACGCCTTTCATTAGTCAGTGATCTTCTTTCTGCAGAAACCACACAGCTCCTCCCCCATCATTTCATTTTCTCTGAACCATCCCACCCTTTCAAGAACTCATCATCTACCACCCACAGACTATGCTAACAGCCCTTGAAAAGAACACCACATCATCTAATTCACATGCAGAGTGGGAGAAATAAAGTTCAGTCACATGCAAAAAATGCTAACAACTAAGGGAACTCAGCATATCAGTTGGTGGTACATCATTCATTTGTTCTTCCACCCATTCACCAACTCACTTTTAGAAACCTACTAAGTGCTGGGCAGGAAAAAAAAAAAAAGGTATTATGTTACAAAATTTCAAATATTCTGCACAAAGGGCTTCCAAGGAGCCTCACCTTTTCATAGAGAGTACCATTCACATCTGCGCCATAAATTGGAGGGTTGAATGTGAGATTTTTCCAGTATTTCCGCTCAAGCTCTTCAAACTCACTATAGCGTGGGGTACAGTACCTTCCAAAGTTTAAAAAAAAAAATTTGTTAGCCACTTACTGTCACTAAATTTATTAGGCATTATGAACAGTGTAAGACACAATTCCCTGAATTCCCTATTTCCAGAACAGCAAGACATTTCAAATGAACAAGACACAATCTTGGCATTCAAGGTTATGTACAGTAACTCCCCTCAATATCCCTTCCATGAACTGGGCCCAAGGAAACTGGGAAAAGAAGGTCACTAAAGCAGTGACTTGAATCCATCTTYTTTTACAACATAATAACTTCCACTGAAGAGAGGCTACTTAAACTACACCCTGCTTGATTCAGRAGTAGCTTAGCCAATGAGGAAAAAGGACTTAAAAACTATAAAGAACCACAGAACACACACCCATTAATCTCAGCAACTTGGGAGGCTGAGGCAAGAGGCTCTCAAGTTTGAGGCCAGCCTCAGCAACTGAGGGAGGTTATAAGCAACCTAGCAAGATCTTGTCACAAAATTAAAAATAGAAAGAACTGGGGATATAGCTCAGTGACAGAGCACTTGCTTAGCATGCACGAGGCCCTGGATTCAATTCCCAGTACTGTAAAAAAAATAATAATAATAATGAAAAAGTTATTAAGTGGCAATTTAAAAAGAATAATACACCAGCCTTACAAACACAAAYAAGTGGGAAAAGTAATGTACTAAAATGGAAAAAATATTAGTAAGATATTATAATTGTATAAAGATTAGACCTGAAGCCCAAAATGAAATTTTATGGGGCATAAAAGGAATGAGTGAAAACAAATCTTACTTTACTGCCTTTCATTTCAATGTTAACCTAATGAATAATACATTTTAGAAAATTCATGTGTTTAACAACTCCTTTGCCTTCTAATGATCTGTTTTTATAAATTTAGGTTTTTACGTAAGATGTTTTCTTAAAGCTGGCTGGACATAAAAATAGAAATTAGGGGTAAAAAATCTTGTCTCATAAGGCTGGGGTTGTGGCTCAGTGGTAAAGTACTTGCCTAGCATGTATAACACACTGCCTTTGATCCTCAGCACCACATAAAAATAAATAAAATAAAGGTATTGTGTCCATCTACAACTAAAAATATATATTTTTTTAATCTTCTTGTCATATATAAGGGTAGGGGCTGGCAGTCTAGCATGCTAATAGAGCACTTGGCTAGTGAGGCCCTGAGTTCAATTCCCAGCACTGCAGAGTAGAAACAGAGTTGTTTATAAGGAAAAGAAATGCTGAACACAGTGATCTATGTTTGTAATCTCAGCAACGGAAGAACTTTAGGCAGGAGGATTACATGTTCCAAACTCGCCTGGGTAATTTATCAAGACCATATCTCTAAATAAAAATATAAAGGGCTGAGGATGTASTTCAACGGTAAAGAAATTCTAGATTCAATCCCTAGTACTGAAGAAAAAAAAAAGCAAAGGAAAAGAAGTATATTGAAAGAAAAAAGCCTAGCATATATTGACAAGAAGACATAGGACGCTAAAGACACTGGTAGAACCCTGCATAAGAAACAGAAAGCGGCTAAGTTTGGCCCCACAAACACAGCTAAAATCAGGATCAACTATGACACAGACTTGCATCTGCAAAGCTTATCATACTTCTTCAATATGCTTTTACATAAGTTCTCTCATTGGCCAACAGGCTGGCTGGCAATGTAGATGTTTTAAGCTTTGTCAATAAAACTGTTAAGACCTCAATTAGGGGCTGGGGATGTGGCTCAAG